GTTTAAGGAAAAAAAATCAACATACTTTCATAGGAGCAGTGTCTAGATTATCGTCTGGTTGGAACCAAGGCATGTTGTACCCTTAATGCTCTGATTGGCATTAAATACCACTGCTCTACAGGGAGAAATAATATTGGTCTTACCTGTTGGGGCATTTTAGACTAATATAGTCAGGGTCATCCTACTCAAAAGAAGAAAATCACTTAACTAAGACACCTTTGAAAAATTACAAGACTTTGTGTTTTATGTGTGTGTGTTTCCCCCAAACTTTATCTTTTCCTTATTTCCCTAAGTAACAGATTCCTGATTTTTAGCAGGGTACAATTCCCTTACCAACTCCCCCAATTAAAAGACAACATTTCCCAGCCCCACCTAGCAACTAGGATGGCTAGGTGATTAAGTTATAGCTAATGAAATATAAGCAGAAGTTATGTATGTCTTTTGGAAAAATGCCTTGAGTTGGTTAGAGCACAGTTTTAAAACACCAAGGTCATGGGTTTGGATCCCCATACCAGCCAGCCGCCAAAAAAAAAGAAAAAAAAGAAAAATGCTTTAAGAGGAAAAGGGCATCCTTCATCCTTTTCTGATGCCCTTTCTCTGTTCTGCTGCAAGGATCTGAGAGAAGAGCCACCAGTCCCTCAGAACCACACATACTCCAGCCTTTCCCAGGCCCATGGGTATCACACAGCTGACCTCTCCCAAGAAGAGAACTCCCTGAAGATCCAGAACACAGCTCAGAGAGACATCTCTTTTTGAATTCTCCCTCCCTAGACAACAGTAGCAAAAAGAACCCCTCTCTCCATTCCTGGTCTGGCCTGGAAAAAAGTGATGACCCAAATAGCCCCTAGAGAACCAATAATCCCCCAGAAAATCTGGAAATGTCCCAAGGTCCCTACCCCTGAGTCCTGGGACCTGGGGTAAATTCACTTCACTTCTGAGTTTCCACTTTACTTCCTGTAAAATGGAAACCATCCACCTACCTGCAGGGTGTTATGCCCAGACAAGAATGAGGATGCAATTGTATCTTACTTTGCAATGGCATTAAAACATAAAGGTGTTTAATGATAATTAGAGCTGCGCTCAAGAAAGGGCAGAATGGCTGCAACACAGAGGGGGAGAATTCCAGAAATCTACCCTGAAGATATCCTTATAAAAGTGTACAAAGGTGGGTGTACAATGAGGTTCACTGCAGCATTATCTGTTACATTTAAAGTAACATTAACAAAATAAAGTTATATGGTACATCCATATAACTAAATACTATGTAGTCACTAAAAAGAACAAGATAATTAATAAAACAAGAAGTGAAGAATATATCATTGGCATTATGGTGATAACCACCAGAGCTAAAATCAGAAGTAGTTAAAGGTGGTTACCTCAACTTCTAGTTAAAGATGATGGCAGGAACAAAGAGTACAGAAGAGATAATAGTGGATCAACACACTTGGGAGATGGAAGGCAAAAGTAGGAGTCTGCAGAACCTAGAAAGCAAGATACCTCCTGCATGTTAAGAGCTGGACACCTATGAGAAAAGTCCAAACTCCAGAACCCTAGAAAAACTCAGAACTGGAACACATAAGAAACCAGAGAGTCTCCAGACCTGGAGATAAGTCAAAGTGGGGAGAGATGATGGAATGAAAGCAGAGGATTGGGTAGTAAGATCTTCAGTCCCCGAAATACTAGCAGCCAAGTAAAATCCTTCTCTTAGGAGAGGAGGATTTTTCTCAGGAGAAACTGTAAAGCCCAGAGAAAATATCTGTAGGGTACAGATATTTGGGAGATTCCCCACCAAAATGATCAGGTCTCTGTTTAGTCACTCTACAGTGAAGTCCATCAGTTGACAAAACTTGCCTAGGCACAAAGCATTTAATCAGCTTTTTTGTGCTGCAGGTTTAAATATAAACAGACTACAAAAGCTCAAGAGACTTGAGCTTGGTCTCTTTCCTTTAAGTTAAAGGAAAAGAGACCAAACAAATAAGTTGAAGAACTTGGAGGAGATAAAGACAACACAGGGAGCAAAAGAAAACTTGGGGGTGAGGTGGGGACTTCAATTAATACCCTCAGAGAAAGAAAAGAAAGTATTACATCTAAAAATAAGAACAAGATATTTAGAAAAGGACAATTAGAGAATGAGAAAGAGTTGGTGGAAATTCAAAATACAAGATCTGAAATAAAATTCAATAGAAGAGTCAGAAGATAACGAGAAAAGAAAGTATTACATCTAAAAATAAGAACAAGATATTTAGAAAAGGACAATTAGAGAACGAGAAAGAGTTGGTGGAAATTCAAAATACAAGATCTGAAATAAAATTCAATAGAAGAGTCAGAAGATAACGTTTAGAGACTTTCCTTGAAGGAAGAACACACACACACAAAAAGAGGGTAAATAGGAAAGAAAACATTAAGAAAATTAAAGGATCAGCCCAAGAGTCCAACATTTAAATGGAAGGGATTGCAGAAAGAGAAGAGAAAAATGAAGGGAAGGAAATTATCACAGAAATACTTCAAGCAAACATCTCAGAACGGAAGGCGCAAGTATTCACCATGAGACATTAGAGCACAGAAGGTAAAGGGAAGATCCTGAAAATTTCAAGAAAGCAAATACTGGTCATACACAAAGAACTAGGAATCAGAATGGCAATAGCCTTCTCAACAGAAAATCTCGAAGCCAGAAGACTATAGATCAATGCCTTTAAAATTCTGAAAGAAAGTAACTTTCAGTCTAAAATTCTACAGAGTCAAATTATCAACTTATATGAGTAGTCTAGATGAGGAGAAGATAAAGATTTTCAAACAAATAAGAATTTACAAAAATCTACTTCCTATGAATGTTTTTCTCAGGAAGTTCCTAGAGTTAAGACTCTACCAGAACAAGGGAGTAAATCAAGAAAGAGGAAGGCATGGGACCTTGGAGACCTAGAGAGCAACTAGTCCGGCCTAGAGCAGGAGACAGAGGACTATAAGATGGAGGTCAAAAAAGAAAAAAGAAAGGAAGTGTTTGGCCATCTGGAAAACAGAACTCAGATGGGTTTTACAAACCTGTTAGAGTTGGGGAAGAATTAGTAAGGAATAACCAAACAAAAGAAGACAATTCATATTTGGTCAAGATCGGATCTATATTTGTATATTGTACTTGTCTCCAGGGAACAACAATTAAAAACAGCCACTGAATATTAATTCAACCAATAACTGTGATGTACCTGTACTATGAGAATGGAGGAAGGGAAATTGGGGGTGTGGAACAATATAAGAATGCTAATTTTAATTCTCAAATCTAATCACCCTCTTAGCGCAGTAGGCAGCGCATCAGTCTCATAAATTCTCAAATCTAA